CTGCACCCATGGATCGACCAATAGCGTGGTTTGTTGACGTGTGGTGGGGCGGGTACCGGGGCCGGGGTTAGACTCCACTTTGCCACATGTCACTAACAGAGTATTCAAGAGCAATAAAAGTCTCAAACACACAGAAACGTAATGTGTTTGCACAATATAACCTGTACGACGTTTCCTTTGCCTTGTTTGGCTGACTAAAGCAGCCGATTTTCGCTCGATATTGAGCCAAACATATTCCCTTGGTGAGAGCTCTGTGACACACGTCTTACCCGGTCACTATAATGCGCATGCAATTTAGTTCAAGACCCTATGAAAGATACTTTCAATTATAAAAATATCAACAACCCAAAAGCTACAGAAAAAGTATAGATTTGATACATGTTTCATATTTTAAAGTTCCATGGAGGGAAACAAACCCCTTCGAGGGAAATATTTACCTGACGTCAACCTACTCCAATTAAACAAACTCGACTAGATTATTTTTGACCTCACATAGTTTACTACAAAATGTTATCAAGTGGGACATAAGTCCAAGTATAGATTCAGACCATTCACTTATTTCTATGACACTATCTTTATCTGAAACACAATGAGGAAAAGGTTCTGGGAAATTCAAAAGCTCTTTATTACAGGAACCAAAGTATGTACAATTAGTCAAGGAAACTATAAAACACGTTGAACAAATATAAGTCCAAAACAGAAGACCAAAATTCAAAATACCAAATTAACGATCAACTTCTGTGGGAAATGATTCTTATGGAAATTAGAGGCTGAACAATTTACTCCACATCAACAAAAAGAAAAAAAGACAAATGTAGAATCAATGACCTAGAAACTTTATTGCATGATTTAGAGATAGAGCAGGATAATAACGACAGTTTACATATCAAAGAAGAAATGTTATAAGAAGAAATGATACAAAACTGAACTTAATGATCTTGAAACAAATAAAACAAAGGGATCCTTTTTATTAGATCTAAAGCACAATTGGCAGAACAGGGAGAAAACACAAGTAGATACTTTTTAAATTTGGAATTTAGAAATTTTCTAAAACAAATCTATGTCAGAAATTCAAAATACGATGGATCAACCATTATAGATCAGGAAGAAATACTAAGGAAACCCAAAGCTTTTATAATATATATATATATATATATATATAGATATATATATATATATATATATATATATATGTGTGTGTGTATCTCTCTCTCTCTCTCTCTCTCTCTCTCTATATATATATATATAGATATATGAACACTGCACACAAATTAATCTTGATTCTTTGTTAAACAAATAGGATATACCAAAACTAAATGGAGACAGTGCTGCAACTGCGAACAAACATATGAGGAAACCCTAGAAGCATTGAAAAAATGAAAAATGAACAAAATCATCGACCTGACAGTTTTACAACAGAATTTCTAAAATTCTTTTGGATAGACTTAAACAAATTCTTGATAAATTCTTTTAAATTATGCATATCAAAACGAAAATCTATCAGTTACCAAGAAACAAGGATTAATTACATGCCTACCTAAAGAAAACAAACCAGAACTATTTTACAAAAAATGGCGGCCAATTTCTCTCCTTAACACATCATATAAAGTTTCATCAGTGGTTATAACCAATAGAATGAAACAGATACTACCACTAATAATAAATGATGATCAAAAAGGCTTTGCACCAGGAAGATATATTGGTGAGGTCACAAGGCTGATATACGATCAAATGGAGTATACAGAATCTTATCAAATACCAGCACTATTAGTTCTAATTGATTTTGAAAACGCTTTTGATTCAGTTGACAGAAATTTTATACTAAATGTGTTAGACTCTTTAATTTCGGACATAGTTTTCAGAAGTGGATTAGAACTTTTTTAAAGATATGAAATCAATGTACTTTTAAATGGCTTTGCGAGCACCTTTTGTCCCTATAGCCAGAGGTTGTCATCAAGGAGATCCGGTATCACCATATATTTTTATCTTATGTGCAAAAATTTTGGCTATACCTATCAGAAATAATAAAAAATATAAAGGGATTAAAAAAGGGAAGTATTGAATATGTTCTTGCACAATTTGCTGACGATACTTCCCTACCTTTAGATAGCACTGAGAGAAGTATGTATGCCTTGTTGAACACTTTCTTTTTTTCTCCTTTTTTTGCAAGGTTTTCTGGCTTGAAAATTCATGCTGACAAGACAAGACTGATCTGGACAGGCTCTAAGAAAAGATGTGGATATAAACTCTGTAAGGGCTGGAACTTAGACTGGACTCAAAGTAACTTTAAGCTACCGGGTATAATGTTTGATGTTGACCTTGAAAAAATGGTGAAACTGAATAACGATAATAAGTTTATAAAAATAGAGAGTGAAATGAAGTTAGGGTCAATAAGAACACTTACTCCAATCGGTAGAAATGTTATTTTGAAATCACTACTACTTGAAAAATCAAACCATTATTTTCCTCAAGTCAATCGCTCCCAGATGAAATAATAAATATATTTCAACAAGCCAGTTTCACATGTGTATGGAAAGACAAACCTGATAATATTAAAAGAGATGTATCAGCTGAATGGAGGAATTAGTGTCCCACTCGTTAGGAATATTATTTATGCACACACAATATCATGGATAAAAGATTATATTCCAGTACCTGGAAATGGAAAGCATTAGTGGAACAGTGTATACCCAACTACAGAAGACCTTGTTTGAGTGGCATTTTAGTTGACATAATAGACAAAGGAAACAACATAATTGCCATGATTGGCTAAGCAGTAAGCCGAAGAAGCCAGTGAGTACACAAAGGATAGTGAATGGAAGCCAGAGATGTAGTTACAATGAGATGTTAAAACAATAGATGCGATGTTTATACAATAGATTGGGCTTGGTGGAGGAGTGGATCATAAGCTGATGGAATGAAGTATCCTTGGTCACGGTTGATGGTGGGCTTGTGGCGTTTGATGAATGGCTTCTGTGAGCTTGCGTTTAGTGAAGTCCGTTTGGTTGTTGGCGAGAATAGTGATGTCGGACCACTCTATTTGATGATTGGGGGTTAGCCAATCATGGCAATTATGTTGTTTCCTTTGTCTATAATGTTGTTTCATTGTTATATACAGTATATATACGCAGCTCCTACACTTCATGTATCACTCTTGCTTGACAACGGTACAAGAATCTGTATCGAAACGTCGCACTCACGAAATAAAGAAGTTGTTATCCATAAAACTTGTTCTATATTACAGAAGACCTTGTTTAGCTGATCCTGAATATATGGAAAACACATAAAACCTTACATAAGAAATCCTTTTGGAGAGATGTAATCTCAGCATGGGGATCATATTTACAATAGCATTATAAGACACTTCACACAAATGACATTTTAAAACAATATATTTGGTTTTTAATTATATGTTTAACATAAGCAAACGAAACATTTGGTACAATGCAGAAATACACTTTTTATGATCTAATGAACTACAGGGGAATTCTATACTTATGAAGGACTACAGAAAATATATCAAGCTAAAACAAATATTTTAAGATATCATAGTATCAAATCTTCCATAATTGCCTGCTAAAAAGAGAAAACAAATCACTCTTCCCAAACCCTCCCATTTTCTCCAAAACAACCATTCAATATATCCAAACTTAGTCTGAGGGTTAAAGGCTCCAAAACCTTTTATCTTTCTTTACTAGAAATTACAATAAGTCATATGCACATAAAAGTGGGAAAGATCCTTTGAAACACAGTATGATAACACAATGTTATGAGAAATATATATGATGACAAATCGATATACAAAATGTAGAAATTTGAAATGGTTACAGTTGAAGATATTATATGATATTATACACACAAACATTTCCCTAAATAGAATCGGCCTAAAGGAGACACCCGGTATGTACATTCTGCTAAAAGGAATTAGAAACAATTGTCCATCTACTCTGTAATTGTTGTCATGTTAAAAATATTTGGGAGAGTTTGACCAGATGGATAATGACTGTAACTGAAGGCATCATTGACTTTACACCAGAAACATTTTTACTTGGATTTAAAAGGAAACATAATAATTCTTTAATGCAATATGTCTTGTTGTGAAACAGGTAATATACACACAAAAAATAAAACAAGTTCCATATTTCAAGAATGTAGTAAGGGAGATATCAAAATACTATGAAATTACAAAATATAATGCTTATTCTAAATGCAGTAACAGCGAGTTCTTTGCCTTCTGGTCATCTTTCCACAATCTATTTACAGAAAGTATTACGTCAGAAAACATATTGTAAGTGTATTTAATTATTATTACTATTATTGGAAACACTGAGATAAAATATGTAAAACATATTCAAAGACGTTTATTCATTGTATGATGGGGATTTGTGAAAGTGCATTGAGTATACTCATGTGAATGTATTCTGCATGTACTATGTAAACTGTGGAAATAAAGATGGTAAAAAACAATGGACGCTTTTACCATTGGGCTACCCCACCGCACCCTGAATGGATGAATGACCCTTTGCAGCAATTGTACAGCCGTATCCATTGTGTCAGCACAACGCGTTGTACAAAGTCTTTGCCAGGAAGACTAATGATTGGCGGTATCAGTGAAAACCCATGCAGACTGATGACATAACATCTGACAGTTCATGGATAACTCATCTTAAATCAACCCATACGTGCCGACAGTTTACAATGCCCAGAGAGGCTTGGGGTTGTTGGTCACCGTCACTTATCGTTATTCAGTTTAATAAAATACATATAACATATTTTCGCTTGGAAACAAAACAAGTAGAATAGCTGGTTTGACAGGTGAGTGTTGAAAACAATAATTCGTCGACTTTCAGAATGCACATCGTTTAATTGTTTCTGCGATCAACGCCATTCCAAGAGACCCTTTCCTGTCTAAGAATATTAAACTGTCTTTCCTTTCTGACAAACACGAGGTGATTATACTTCCCTCTGAAATCACCACTTTGATTACTTAAGAAGAACAGTAACTTACGAAAATGTTATTTCACTGGTGTAAAGCTTATATCTACAAATACAAATTAAGAGAGTGAAAAACCTGACAATGAATTATCTTATAAGTTATTGATCATTCCATTGAAATTATTATACAAATACATGAATATCTTGGAAATTTGTCTAAAAGGAAACATTTACCATGGTATGAAGAACATGTCTTGGGTCAGCTGGATCGACATATTCACTGTCTATACACAAACGCCTGTATAGGCCAGTCAAGAGTATATTTAGGAGATAAACATACTGTATTCAAAATCAGAGGTATGTAGCGAAATGAAAATAGCTCTAAATCTGAATTAAAACCGAACACGTAGCGCGAGTATGTTTATCTCCATTACACCATAACCGTTTTATTAAGATTTTAAAATGATACAGAATCTCTTGGAAAATCAGAGGTATGTAACGTGATTATATACCTCCGTATGACTTTAATTAACCAATCGCAATCCAGTATTATCATGGTAGAATTCTTGACACATGAACGTAAAAAAACAATCGATTTTTCAATCACATGCGGGCATTATTACATTCTAAAAGGCAAATATGACTTAATTCAGCTCCGATATACAGAGGGACAGTTAAAATCTCAGACAAGAGGAGAGATATTGAAAGTCGTATGTATAGAATACTTTACGATGTGATAGATTAGAACGTGAGCCCAGTCACGTGTGTGATCCTACATCCGTCTAAAGGATGACACCACACACACAGAGAAAACCCCACCAAAATGAAATGCTAAATACTTGCCTTTTGAGGGTTGAGGAAAGGATTTGGAAAAGGAAAAGTTGAATATTTAAGCGTTTTGAATACAGAATACAATACATTGCATTAGATGTACTAGAACACATCTGTCAATGAAAGTCACTATAAACTTTAAAATATGTGAAGTAAAAAAAACTATGGCTATCTAACAACCATCACTCTATGGTACACACTAACTAATCATATACAAGCATCAGTAGACTGAGTGAGTTCAGTTTTACGCTGCTTTTAGCAATATCACTGCCAGGGACACCAAAAATCGACTTTACATGTTGTGTCCATGTGGGGATCGGACACTTGTCTTCGGCGTGACGAGCGAACGCATAAACCACTTGACTAGCCCACCGCCCCCCTAGAAATCAGTTGAAATAGCGACAGATCAGGCATAGGGGTTCCGGCGCCAAAGTCTGAAGTGTTGTTTGTGTCTGTGCAGATGTCCTTGGTTCCCTTTCTCCACAAGAGCCCTGAAATGTAAATTACAGTTGTTAACAAAAGAGGATAATCAGTCTCTGATCTCTGCCACAACAACCACTTGAGTCAGTGTGTAAAAGAACTAAGAACATTATGTAAATAAATCATTGAAAACAGTAAGTGATTAACAAGTGGAGGCTTGTCTTGTTCCACCGATTGCACCTGCCTCTCAGCATAGTCAGAAGTATGTTTGTTACCTATACAGCACTCAGCAATAGTCCTGCCAACGTTGACAGCTTATACATAATCGAATGTTGAACAGGGAATCGAGTTTGATGTAAAATCATTTAGTTTTGTGTCAACTAGGCACAAATTATTATAAACGGATCTATCGCAGTCACAGAGTGTCACATAACGTTCCATACTCTATATTTGAAGTTATCAAACATACTTTATTGTCGTCTTTTCTTCGTTGGAAGATGCTGATGCTGCAACTTCCGCTTCCTGCGTGTGTTTCCCGTGATCCTCCTCTCACTGCTACACCCTGGTGACGTCCCCGGATTGTCATTTGGCTCCTGCTGAACAGACAATTTATTGTTTATTTAAAAGTTAATGTTTCAGTGAAACAGAGTCACATTTTCCTAATTTTTATTGTTTCAGAGAAATCACCAGTTAAGGATATTAATCTTTCAAGCAAATCACATAGTTTTGACATCCATACTCACGTGGGTCAGAGTGCGATCTCCATGGGGTTTTAAAGCTTGTGTCTTGCAACTCTGGGATATAAGCTTCTGTAGTGTTCTCTCTATGCTCTCTAATCTCCTGTTAGTTACATCGAATCGGGACGAAAGAACAGTGTGGAACTCAGATGCGGTGATGTAGTCTTTTGCTTCGGCTGTATTCCTGTCACTGTCGTTGCAAGCCCGTGTGTCTGTTTCGATTGCCTCACATGCATGTGTGTCTGTCTCAGTACCAGTACCACATGCCTGATTGTCTGGCTCACTCATTGATCTGCATGCTCGTGTGTCTCTATCAGTCTTTGAATTGAAGTCATGTGTGTCTGCATCAGGCACTGATCTGCATTCTCGTGTGTCTCTATCAGTCTTTGAATTGCAGTCCCGTGTGTCTGCATCAGGCACTGATCTGCATTCTCGTGTGTCTCTATCAGTCTTTGAATTGCAGTCCCGTGTGTCTGAATCAATCGCTCCCGCAGATGTCCGCGTGTCTGTCTCAGATGTCTCACACACGTGTGTTCCTCTATCAGTTGTTGTCTCCCATATATCTGTGTCGATGATGTCATGTGAGGGTTTGATTGTCCTTGACACAACTTCACTTTCCTTCTGATGCTGAAATGACTCACATGGTAATATAATTGTACTATCTCCACAACTAGTATCACCTGCTGCCGGTGCACCCTGTGTCTTCGCATCAGCGTATGGAGTGTTGCTTGATGGTGGATTTACATCACCAGCTTGCATGAAATGTATGGGACCGGATTCGAAAAGTTCCCATAACGTAGTTTCAGATACATTTTCGGGGAGATTGGCTTCCAGTATAGCACGTGTGTGTTTAGGGCCAGCCACTTCAACAGAGTTACAATCAAATAGTGACTCCAAGTCCGCATTACTCTGTTCGTCCTGACTGGATACCTCTGGGCCATTGTTGATGCCACATTCTGACGTCATATCATGTTCCGCTTCCGAGGTTTGTGGTGAATCTATTCCTTGGGTAGTTGGTGTGGCTTTCATCTCCATGTCTCGAATTGTTTCTAAAGTCATTCGTACAAATTCACGTTTCTCTTCTGTAATCCTTTCTTCACAGCAGTCCGCCTGAAGTGTGTCTGTGCTCGTAGACTGTGTGCATAAACTGTTATCTGAACTGCTGCATCCGTCAACCTGTTGGAATGTAGCTGTGCTGGAAGGCTGTGTACATAGAGTGTTAGTTAAGGCACGGCGGTCGTCGTCATCGTTATGAAGTGTTACTGTGATGCGAGACTGTAGAGGTAGACTGCTAGTTGAGCCCCTGCAGTCCTCGTCCCCTTGGAAGGTAGCTGTGCTTGTAGACTGCGTACATAGACTGTTAGTTAAGCCGAGGTAGTCAACGGCATCTTTCTGAAGTGTGACTGTGCTTGGAGACTGTGCAGGTAGACTGTTGGTTGAGCTCCGGAAGTCCTCATCTTGCTGAAATGTGTTTGTGCTGGAGGCTAGCTCTTTTGATGACTCTCCTGTCTCTACTCCCTTTTTTTCCATCATGCTGCCTGAAAACATGGCATCACAAGTCAATCTATCAGCTGTGTGTGGCTCTGAATGAACTACCTCAATAAACTGCTTTGCGTGAGGCATCTTGTTGTTCTTTCCTTGTCTTTTCTTTTTCGAGTATCGTGTCACAATGTCAGATATGCCAGTAGCGGAATATGAGACCGCGTTGTCTGTACACTGAGGGTCTGCTAGTTTGATAAACTCGGAATTTATTATTGTGGGTGTTGGTGTTCTTGCTTCAGGGCCATATGTCGTTCGTCCTGAGCTTGAAATTTTCTCCTGTAATATTTGAGTCAAGTGACGAATGGTGCCAGCTGTTTGGGTTGTGAAGTCTTCATAGAGTAGAACATCTACAGCAGTCTTGTAGTTCTCTACCTTCAGGTATTGCCTCAGTCTGTCCCGTGTTTCCTGTTGGTCAAGATTGACCATGAATGTTGCCAGGTCTGGTGGGAGACAGTTTTTGACAGTCAGGACTCTTCCAAGTTCAATAGCCCTGGCTATCAGTTCTGGGAAGCTGTCTTTTCCCTTCCCTGACGGATTGTTCCACTTACACTTTCTTGAAAACCCGGCGCTATAAGCAGCATTGGCGACATCCTTGGACCAGATGCTTTCACCAATTTTGAGGTTGTCTCTGAGAGACTCTGATAACCGACGCACAAGCGTTTCAATGCATGTTCTGTCGTTAAATTGCGGCCCAGGATTAGTTTCCACATCATGCGACAACCACAAGGCCAACATTGACGCCATCTTAAATGCATACTTGAGTCTACCTCTGTTGAGGGAGATGCTGTAGGACTCACATTGCAATGAATCAAACATATCTCTCAGTTCATACAGCAGGAGAACACAGAAGATAAGTTTCCACGTGCTGGCTGTCATCTTCCGGAAGTTCTTGATCAAGGAGTCAAGTTTCAGTTTTGCCTCCTCGCTTAGAGACTGCAACTTGTCCCCAGATAAGTTAGTGATTTGTTGTAGAAATATCTTCACTTCTCTACATGTGTCTTTCACCGGGGTCTTTTTGTCAGAGAGTCTTTCCTTCTGTTCCAGAATGTCCTCACTCATCTTCTTGACAAATTCAGCTGCCTGCCTTATTTGCGGGTCAGAGTGTGAGTCAGTATCCTGCTGGAGCTCCTGTGCCTCATCCTTGATTTGATCTGCTGCGCTTTCGACTTCTTTTTTTGCCTGTATTATCTCCTTACAAATCCCCTGAAAAGAAGCGAAAACAGATTAAACATAATACTAGTAATCAGTCAAATTGCTTCAAGTTTTCTTTCACTTTGGTTTCCAAAACATTCCCCTTTTCCAACCAACGTTTCTTTGCTGACTTTATACCATGAGTGGATATCACAGTCAGATATATTGATATTTATTGATTATTTTATAAGGCTCGCTGCCATTCGCAAACGCTGGGAATATCTAACCATGGAAAAGCCTGCCTTAAATACACGGTGAAATAGCAGTGTTTCTCAATCTAATAGCACAATGTCATTCTGCTGATACAACTGGCTTGGTGCTGGGTATGATACTCATCAGGTGACAAGTCGCCCAACAAGAACTAGGAACGCTATTCTTATCATATGTATCAATTTTGCATGAAATAGTTTGAATATTTTGATATATATTTACATATTTGTGGCATGGGGTTTCAAAGCCTTGGTAACTATGAATTATTGCACGAAGATATCCCCACAATTAGGCGGTTCTGCTTCTGAAAGCTGTAACTACCATCATCAATAATGAAATATCATATTTCTTCCTCTGTAAACTTCCATCTGGACATTAGCAGAACACAGTTATTTCACGGGCACATTTTATAGATAGTTACAGAGTAGGTTCGGCGATCTTTCAATAATCTGTAGGTCGGCCAATGAGAACCGAGACAATAAAGCATATCAGACAACGTAATTATTCAGGTTTATGTGGATATTGGGCGCAGGAAGTTTGATGGCATGGGTCTTTTTACTTTTCACTATTGGTTTATAAGGGACTTGAGTGATTGTTTTCTGAGTCGTAGGATAGCAGAACTAACGCAAGCAAAAGAGCACAGTGTATATCATGTCGGGCACCGTTCGATCGTCAAGGACAGATCAAACATTAAGGTGGGAATATGGGATTCTGGCATGAAAGCAAACACACTGATACTGGCAACCCCAATTTTGTGTGGCCCAGTTGTGGTTTGACCAGGCTAACCAGATCCAGTCATGGCTGAAAGGTGACTTGTCCAAAAGAGTAAATGTGTACGATATAAACGGGATTAGTACTGATTGCCGTGTAATGGTGACATGGTCTGCCGAAACCATTGCAGACTCTTTCAGTGGTGTCATAATACACAAGTCTGTACACTTAAAAGGACCCACGAATGGTAAATGACCAGGTGGTGGGCACATGAATACAGCAAGTAACCATCACTGTGATTATGTGTCCGAATCCACTCAGCTGTGAATGTGTACCTCGTAAGGATGGGAAAGCCACATTAACTCGGTGCGTCTAGTTGCTGCCAGAGTTGTATGATACCCCGGGAGTAATAAAACAATAGTAGTATGTGTACAATTACTGAGGCACATTCAATATGTTTCTTTGCTGACTGAAGGTAGATGGCACATTATCTTACCTTCATGTAAAATACTTTAATTTCATCGGTCAATGACGGTTTAACAACTTTCCGTGTAACCCGTCCCAGGAGGGTGATAACTGGAAAAAATATTACCCGCTGCCACGGTAACCGCCAAGCTCTCCGCCGAGAAGCTGACGCGCTAACAATCGTATGACGTCATAACATGATGCATGCCCTGCCCGGAGTTCGCAAACCGTTGGATCAGCTGTTTTTGTGTTCACTTTGTACAGATTTATTTTACCGACTTTCACTGCTTCATTTACACAAGCTTAAAGAACTCTAGCAGGCAAAGGTCTTAAAGCTATGAATGCTTTACTGAAAAATGTCCGTTGTTACAACTTTTCATTGAAAACCTTGTGTGAACTATTCGACACTTGTGTTACCTTTATTATAATGTATGGCTCTGAAGTCTGGGGTATTGTGAAACGTTCTGAATTCGAAAGAAGTTACTTAAAATTTTGCAGGCGTATTTTGCAGATCAATGTTTAAATGATCTAAATAATGGTTATAAATCATGGTTAGGTAGTGTATAAATGTTTTTGTGTGAACTTGGCTTTGGGCATGTCTGGGAATTTCCAATTCTAAACGTTGATAATTTTGGTCGTAAACTCCAAGTAGACTGAAAAAAAAATGTGTTTTACTATGGGAAATGACAATTTAATTTCGATTTAAAGAAGAATAGACGTGAAAATGTGTAAATGACTTTATTTATATTTGTATATGTGCCACATCTAAACAGCCTCCATTAATCCTGTTTTCTTTGTAATTTGTCAGAGTGAGGGGCCCCGTGTCCATTCAGCCATAACATTGCATTGCAAGTACCGGGAAGGCTACGCTCATTAAACCGAGAAAAGTCACGATTTTAGCCTTCCCGGCTATGAACCTGCTGTTGTGTCACACGTCACCGACCCCCTCCTCCTTCTGAGACGGTTCATCGCCGGGAAGGCTAAAATCGTGATTTTTTCTCGGAGAAGGGGCTCAGTGACGTGTGACACAACAGCAAGCCTGAATCACTGCCTCACAACGACGGTGCATAGAAGCAATAACACGGAGATTATTGTGCTGTGGGTTGTTCTGCCATTCTCTTCCTGAAGGTCTGCATCCCATAAATACTCAATAGGTGACAAATCAAGAGAACGAGCAGGCCAAGGCAGAAAACCCGTTGTTGTGACGAAGAAAGTCCTGACAAACAACGGCTATGTTTGGTCTGGCGTTGATGTGTTGAAACATCCCACCATGACTGTTAATGAAAGGCACAACATGACGTTGGAGAATCTCGTCACGTTATCGCACACCTGACAGATTCCCTTCCACATCTGTTTGTTCTTCTATCAAAATGGATGATTGCCCACACCATAACGCCCCACCACCAAACGATCAGCCTGCAGGACACAGATGGCGGCGTAGCGTTCCCCACGATGGCGATGAGCTCATGCAGCAGGTAACAGGATTCGTCTGTCAACAACATCTCCATCCACTGATTCCTGATTCATCGGCGTCTCACTCTACTTGAACCGTTTTTCTAACAGTTTGGTCCGAGAACCGGCGTTATTCAGGAATGGCTGTGGTTGTGCTGCTAGCGCTGAGGGTTCGATCACGCAAATGGTGCAGTCGTATGAAGCGGTCTAGGGGAGATGTAGTGACCCGAGGTCGGCCTGACCTTGGCCTGTCGCGGACGTAGACATTGGCATTGTAACGACACCAAAGGTTGGAGATGGTTTGTCTGGAAACATCGAAGTTATTTGCAGCATCTTACTGTGTCGCGCCTGTTTCCAGGCGGCATTTTGACGTTGTGCTTCCGACATTCTCATCCTGTTTAACACCATACTTTGTCACAATGTGATCTGTCACATGGATTAGATTTATAACATTTTATAGCCACCCAAAGAGGTTATCAGCGTGTGTACGTGAAGAAAACACAGCTGCACGTGCAGTTCTGAGGGATGCGTTTAGCGGATATGCTTATAACGTCATTCGAACGTTTACGTTAAAATGGCACGGGTTCACTTTCACACAAATCTTCGCAATTATCCTTTGCTTTGTGATCCTTCACTCAGTCTAGTTAGGTATCTTTGCAACCTTTGACACTGTTTAACACTTTCTTTTACAGTGTATCTTAATTTGGTCCACTCGGCTTATATCACTATTTAAAGTCTTGCCTGTTGCCCCTTTGCATACGCTGCTCATATATCTGACCTGGATAGAAACCCTAGGTTTGGGACTGTATTATGGCAATGGATGGTAGCAATGATGGTACACTATACCGTTTGTACTGTAAGTCTTTATGTTAAGATGATAATTGGCGTCACTTTCCCTGACTGAATTGACAAGGATATGTGACACCAGATCCAAACATGTGAAACAACACTTGGATACGGTTATTAATTTCCACAATCAACTAGGCTTTTGAAGACAAATATTTTTAAATGCAGGTAGTAAAATGTAGCAGGCCATTATAAATTGGGGATAATGATATACTTCACGAACAAAGATAGAACAGTTATAAAACATTCAAGTGCTTTTTGTTATAATTTTTCTAAGCTATGTTTGTAGTTTTCATATTCTCTCAGGGTGTTATTTTGACGTAATATTGCCTGGTCACATGCGCTGTGATTGGTCTTGTTTTATGCCAGTGTCCATTGACAGTGACTAGGATTTGTGCACCGTGGCTTTAATATCAGCAGCTGAATCAAAGATCGAGACTTAATTGATTAAGTCTATGATAATGTAGACAAACCATTTCTCCTGTTGGTATCATTTGTGTTCATGCCCTACCTACAGACGAATCAATCTGTTCAGACGTCCCTCGCACACCTAGCACATGGGTTCTGGATGTACATTTGATGTAAATGAAGATAGTTATTCCAAAAGCATCGAAACCATTCGGAATTTATCATTTGGTATTTTAACCTGATCCCTTCCTACAGTCTCATATTTATCAGAGTAGCAAGTGTGCATCATTATTTGCTGACAGACAGATCAACACACAGACATCTCCCCAGAACGTAGTCCATTTCTTCAGAAACATTTCCAAATGCATTCAACACACAAACTTTTACCTGGATGATAGTTTAAAACACTCATTAAACTGATGTGATCAAGATGAAATTAATGGACAATGTGACAATAAGGTACTCACCACATCTATTTCCAAGCCCTGAAAACAGAAAAACACAAATATTGCTTCGTAGACATTGTTTGAGAAAAAACGAAACAAGTTACTGTATAGGTTTATAGTCGTACCATGAACAGTGATTCTCTCTCTGATGTTAACTTGATTGGCTATTGTTTTTATGTGTAGTGTCTTTGTGTGCCGAATATCCTGTATTAGACTGGGTTCACTCACTCACTGACTGTAAAGGGCATATGTCATGCTCAGTGGCACAAGTTCAGAGACTAGTTTCTTGAAGCCTCCGACGATAAACAACTTTATACATATTATGCAATCTGCTCATTTCGATGTGATTAAGAATGTTTCTCTATTTTTATATTATGTACAAATTAGAATTAAGAGCAGAACATTTTTATAAATCATTGTGTACCATTCATGTGATGTGTGATCATACATTTGAATGTATTATGGGCCAGTGGCCTTTTACTGAATAAAACTATCTGTCTG